AGTTTTGAATCAGATGGAGGGCCCAACTATTTAGAAAATTTAAAAAAAAAAAAGCGAGTACAGTCTTACAAAGCAAGCACTTTGAAATATCCGCCTTTCATTTGTACGCATAAATCTTGCTGCACTGCCTAAAAATGGCAGCCGTGACTCTTCACCTACAGAATGCTTGAGAAATGATTTAACATGGACACAATCAGGAATTCACACAACAATGCTCTGATAGTGCAGAAGACTCAGTAGGTGTGATGTTCAGAGCTGAGGGATTTAGGAGAGTCAAAGAATCCTGTTCTCTAGACACAATCAGAATTCACTTCATACGGACAAGCCCAAAGCACAGGCAAGTGCTCACAGCTAGTTCTGCAGTTCCTAAGTTAGCTGAATTTTTTTTTTTTGCAGATTGAGAAGGAATTCTCCCAATTTCTATATGGCTTGTTAGGGCCAAGTGAATTTTGAAGCTACCTGGGCAAACAGCCATCAGAGCAGAAGAATAATGTCTCTGCCAACTGTGAGCTTTAGCCTACCAAACTGGCAAGGAGGCAAAAGAAATTAATAAGTGAATAATCTCGTAAGTATGCCCTGAGGGCAAATAGCATTTGAATGTCTATGTGGAATCTGGCAGCTACAGTTTAAAAGCAATATACAATTCCTTTCCATCTAAGCTTGAAGATGTGTCTACATTTTAAAAAGTAACGGCTTCCTAAATCTGCAGTATAGTAAGTCTCCACTCAGGAAGAAAACAATAATGATGATAATAAATTCCTTAATTTTCAGCTTCAATGCTACATGTATATAAACTTTGCCGCTAAATTTAATCATATACTCTGGAACAGTAAATTAAGAGAAATCAGGACTAGAAAACATAAAACAAAATTAAAAAGCAAACAAAAAATGCAGTTCCTGTTAGAAGGTTCAAACTTTCTAAATTTCTAAATCTGACAGAATGTTCATGTTCCTGCACAAGCGCTAAATTGGACAGACATAGAAACATACAGGTAATTCACACTATTTGAATCTAAGGAATGCAGGTCTATATTTCTAAAGAATTCAGTAATTTTTCAAAAAGATGATCTTGTTCAAAAGGGTGACTTCCCTAAATGAACACATTTGTTTTCTTTTTAATGCTATTTTCACTTCAATCTATTCATGTAATAGACCAGAAGCAAGCATTTTTCTTCTTAAAAGTCAAACAGTGTCAGTAAACAAAGGAACAAACCTAACAACACATGATTCACCATGGGTGAACACACACAGTGCAATTTTAACGTCAACGATTATGTCTTCTATTTTCATGAACTAGTCTCTATGTCACAGGAATGTTCAGGAAAGACATGTTTATTAATCTTGTTATCTATATAGCACATATCATGTAGAACCATCACTGGTGCTAAATAAATACCTTCTAGAATGATGAATTTGCCCTTTCTCTTAAAGAAAGAAAATGAATACATGTGTTGCTTTACAATGGAATGTTGTTACTGAAGAAAACTAGAACAGATTTGCTATACTTACTTGCCTTTGGTATATACTATGAAAAAATGCCTGAAAATACTTGTTTTAGAGCTGAAAATGTCCAATGCAATACTAGACGTTTCTAAAGTTGTGGAGTAGGGTTGCGTTTGTTATAAATACTATGTTCCCTTTTCTGCACCATTCCTACCTACAGCAAATATTCCTAGTCCAAGTTCTTTCTGATGCATGAGGCTTCCTTCCAAAAGGTCTGCAGGATAGATGTCCCTCCTTAATGATGAACCTAATATTCATATCATCTTCTCTCACCTCTAGATACAGACCTTTCAAAGACCAAAAGTATGGAGGTTAATTATGGATCTAAACGCTCTGCTCTGCTTCTAGCCGTTTGGACAGGAAGAAAGGTGTGCAGGCAGGGGTTTTCCACACTTGGTCCAATGAAGACATTTTATTGACATTTATCTTCCTCAACAATAACCTAATCTTTTCTAAAACAAAACGACAAGCTGGCCGTCAATTATCTAGTGTGTGCTCAGTTGCCCAGTCATGGCCAACTCTCTGCCACCACAGAGACTGTAGCCCACCAGGCTCCCTTGTTCATGGGATTTCTCAGGCAAGAATAATGGAGTGGGTTGCTATTTCCTGCTGCAGGGGATCTTCCCAACCCAGGGATTGAACCCACATCTCCTTCATCTTCTGCATTGGCAGACAGATTCTTACCCACTGAGCTACCCAGGAGGATAATTTAGTACAAGGTACAGTAATTTAGTAAATTGCTTTAAATTTTCACCCTTTCAGTCTTACATATTAGGGGTTTAGCTCAGAAGCCAGAAATGCCACAGGAATGTCATACACAGTGTCAAGATTCACAGAAAGAAACTTTGAATAAGAGGGTGTTTCTGAGCTGCCCTTGCCGAGCAGGTAACGTGGAAACAGCCCAAGCTCGGTGAGCCACAGCCCTAGGAATCCCTCCTCTCAGAGCTCTTCTGAAACGTGGACTCAGTGGCTAAAGATAAATCGAGGTATGCGGGGCCGTGCAATACACCAGATCCTCAAAAAAGTAATCCTGCTTCATTAAAACCAAACAACACATTTTTAATATTTTGTTAAGCTTCAGGAAACAAAGAGGAATCCTAAGCTTGGGGAAGATTTTAGGGGAAATAAATGCAAAAACAAGACAGTAAGTCATCAGCCTACATTAAGTTTGCATCCAGGAGAGTACCTGAATCATCTTGAAGAACAGGAGTCCTGACCTCGACCTGTTACTAAGTGAAGATACTCAACTTAAAATATTCACATTGAAACCAGTGAAAATGGAGAAGAAAAATTAAATCACCTAACAGAAAAAAGAATAAGACTGAGGTTTATCTAGTGCAGGTCAAAGCTAATTGAGTAGAGAGAGTAAGAAAGAAGCATTAAAGAGATGCTGAGAATTTTTGAGAGCTAATGAACAGATACATATGAATAATACATATGAACTAGATACATAGAAACTAATGAAGAAATACAAGAAACATAAACATATCAACTAAGATAATTAAATAGAAGTCTACAATCAGACACATGGTAATAAAACTGTCAAACACCAAATTTAAAGAAATGACCTTTCAAAGACAGGACAGACTGACAGCCAGCTTTTCAACAGCCACATCAGACAATGGAAGAGTGGAGTCCAGGATGTGCTGGTGAGGGTGAAACCTGGCTGCCAAGGACCCCAGGGACCCTGACTGGTAGCATTTCTGAGATACACGGAATGGAAACTCCTAGGTTGGCCAATTTCAAACTACCATTGTGAAATCACCAGATGCAGAATTGTGCAGGGATATGTGTAACAGGCTCTTACGAGCCAGTGTGAGCTGCTTCTATCACACCCACGAATAAATCCTTAAGATAGAAGGGAAAAGTGTCCTTCAGTGCTGAATTACGTATCTAGCAAAATTATCTTCCAGGAACAAAGGTGAAAAATGAATGACTTATTTTCAGATAAAGGACCACTTACACAGAAAAAAATTCAAAGAATTTACATCAGAAAAAAGGAAATTAAATCTGGCAGAAAGTAAAAGGTTTTGGAACAACAAATTAATAACTACATTGGTAAGTCCAAAAAGCAGTGTCTACATAAAATAATAATTATTATTAGTAGGAGGGGAAATGGAATAAGAAATAAACATAAAATTCAAACTACAAGTTGGTCAGTGTTGATTGGCTCATTCAACTGCCATTTTGGAAAGTAAAACTGACATTTTCCAGACCCGATAGCAGATAGATTTCTGGATGCACATTATGTTCTGGAAACTAGATACAATTTATGGCTCTGGAAGGTTTTAGTGGGACAGGAGTCATTTTTTCTGCCTTTTCAGCTTTTCCTACTGGCCAGCAAAGTCATGGTGACTTGAAGTCTTTTCTCTGCTGCCGTTTTTAAGGGACCTTCTCCACTGCTGGACGCTAACACACAGCATCAGTGACTGCGTGGTAGGTAGTGGCTTCCCGTTCATCAGCTCAGAACTGCTGGGAGTCACTCCAAAAGACCAGCAAGAATGCACACTGGAAGTGCCGTCACAGTTTTGTAAGCAACTTATTTCCTCAGTTACGTCCATTCCTGCTTAAAATGTCTCCAGCTATGAAAGTTTCCTGCACTGTGTTGTGACTGAGAGAATAGAAAAGAGCACGCTAGAATCACAAGAAAAGTTGAACAACTAGAAAATAGGCAGAAACAAATCCAACCATCCAAATAACCCAAAATGCACCAAGGCTTACATTTGCCAGTTTATGAAACAGAAGATGCCAGACTGAATGAAAATACAATATTTGTTTGTCTGCTCTTCACAAGATCCTATATAAGGCTAAAAAAAAAAAAAAAAAAAAAAAAAAAGACTGAAAGGGAAAATAAAGAAAATGACAAACCATAAGCCAGGCAAATAGTAAAGCAAAACTGAATTAGCTATATTAATAACAGACAAACTAGATTAAAGCACAGAGACATTAAAATTAAAAAAATATTACTTCAGTGTGAAAAAAATGTTCAATTCATCAAGAAGACACAAAAATTTCAATCTTGCTTACACCTGATAAAAGTCATCATTTCATATAAAATGAAAATTGACAGAACTCCCTGTAGAAAAAAATAAAAGGGGAATCCATTATTGTCGTAGGACAATCTTTTGAATTTTTGGCAAATTAGGAAAGAGATTAAGGATTTATAGAATTAAATAATTGGGTTGTAAATCCTTAATTTCTTTAAGTGAAATTTACGTGAATTTAACTAAAAGAATTGTGTAAACATTATAAATTGATTAGAAATTAAGTAAAAAATAACTATTTCAGTGAATTGCTATGTTTATTTACATTACTCAAGGTTCTGTAAAGTAGATGTAAATACCGGTTTCCAGTCCCTCCACACAAGCATTCCTGTCTCCACAGGACTCTTGGTCCTACACGTTGGATATTATCTAGATCTTGTTGCTTTTCCCTGAAGAAAGTTATTTATCATTTATTTTATCAAGGCCAGAAAGACATGGACTAGAACAGCAAACCTGTGACTTTGCCCAAGGTGAGGGACCTGATAGCCCTGAATTCAACTTCTGGGGAGAAGTTATAACTGAGTCGGAGTTGCTGATCCATCTGCAAGAAAACAGAAAACAGAGCGGCATCAGCAGAGGTCCTCACACCAAGGCATAAAACACTCCTGTCTGAAAATAGCTGGAAAACACAGGCAGGGCAGACACCTCTCTGGGATTTTTCTCCCTGGAGAAATGAGAAATGTCTCACTAATTCTTCCACAATGCACATAAAATACCCCTTTCTTTCTTTCTTGGTGAAATAAAGGCTTTCACACAAGGCTTCTCCCTGGGAAATTCTGTACAGCTTTTGACAGGTATTTATCTCCCCACTGAGATTTTCTCACCAAATTCTTCGCTGCAAAGAAGCAAACAAATGAAGCCTTTTAGGAAGGAGCCTGCAGGATTAACAAGAAAAGGAAAGCAGGTTTTCCTTTCCATCTCTCCCTCCTCCCCATTTGGTCCTTGAAACCTGCTGACCTGGCCTCAACCAGGGGTGCCCTAGGGGACTTTCCTGAGCGAATATATTTCAGTTTGACCAAAGGTCTGAGTCTGGGAAGGGGAGACCAGCTGAACAGCTGCCACCAGCATGAACAGCTGATAGTTCCATTTTGCAGGTGAATGAAAGCCACCAGGGGGATTCTTTGGAACGTTATTTCTAAGATCATCCTTTAGGGAACCTTCCTTTCCACACACGTTAATTTCAGTTCCACCTCTTTGTTCTCTCCCTTTCAAGGCATGGTTCCCCATCCATCCCTAGGTTTTTCTGTCTAGTCAAAGCCTACCAATTTTTCCAGGCTCTATCACAGTCCATCTGTAGGAAGAGAAGACTAAAACCCCTGCAGCTGTGTGCCGGTCCCCAGACTGCCCTTGGGGAGCAGCTGATTGGGAGCCTGACGTTCCCAGCTCCCACTGCTGGACCCTCCTTCTGCACCCACTGCGGCTCAGACAGACCCTCCTACAGGAGCCTCCGGGTCCTGCAGTGGTTTCTGCTCTGAAAGAAATCAGTGGCTATGACTTGTGGTATATAATTGTAGGCTTTATTCCTTTTTCATTCATGGAATTATGCTTTAACAAAACTTGTTGTTTATTGAGCACTTGGTATGTATGAGACATCATACTAAAGTATCCTTCAAAATGCAGTCTTCCCTAGAATACTGTGAAATAGACATTATTATCCCTGTAGGACAGATGGTGGAAGTGATGTCACAGAGATCACACACTTGGCCAATGCCACACAGCATTACATAGCAGGGACTCCCTGTCACATGGCCTGCCAGCCACACAGTATGGCATTTACTTTACTTGTCCATGCCTCTCTAGATGTTTGAGCAGCTGGTAGACAATCACTGTATGTGCTTATTTCTGAATTTCTACAAAATCCATTCAATGACCATTTGAGTATCTACTCTATGCCAGACACTTTTCTAGTGTTCCCATGCTCAGAGTTCACCTCCTCTAAGAAGCTCTCCTTGAAGCCTTAGTTAGATTAATTGATCCTGTTCTCTGTTCTCATGGTGTTTCCCCTCCTCACCCCACCTCTAACCTTGCATTTAAGATGCTGTATCGTAATGACAGCAAGGAGATCAAACCATCCAATTCTAGAGGAAATAAACCCTGAACATGCACTGAAAGGACTGATGCTGAAGCTCCGATACTTTGGTCACCTGAAGAGCTGACTCATTGGAAAAGACCCTGATGCTGGGAAAGATTGAGGGCAAGAGGTGAAGGGGATGAATTTCATTAGATGGTATCATTAATTCAATGGATACTAGTTTGAGCAAACTCCAGGAGAAGGTGAAGGACAGGGAAGCCTGGTGCGCTGCAACATGTGGGGCTACAAAGAATTGGACAGGATTTAATGAGTGAACAACAATCGTAATGATCTGCATGCTCTCTCATCTCATTTTTCTCCACTAAACTACTGGCTCTTTGAAGATGTGGACATTTTATTGATACATGCTTTCTATATGGCCTATTACAGTAACTGGAAAAGTAACTGCAAAGAGATGTTTGCTGAATGAATAAATAGACATCCTGTGTTGATTCTCTTTCTATCCTGTGGACTATGGAGCACCCAGCACATCACCGGGTTGCCTCTGGCTGCCCTGGTGGCCTCTACACCTTGGATACAGCACAGTTTTTTGTACCCGTGGTCCCCGTCTGGGATCTTCTTAATGCTCAGATTCAGTCCTTGCCCTGAAGGAGTTTTCTCCCTGCCTTATCTCGGAGCGCCCACCCGTCCTCTGAAACCATCCCTTCCAGCAGGCGCAGGGCTCCTCCTCTCAAGCTTTGTTGTTCAGGTTGAAGAGGAGGCTAGAGTGACTGAACTTCCTGCTGAGAAGAGAGCAGCAGGATTCTTAGAACCAAAGGCTGAGCTGAGATTCCTTTAGCTTCTGGCTCTAACCTCTTCCCCAGGCCCCCAAAGATCAAGTGATTCCCTCAACACTGTCACATCCTGTAGAAGACCTGATTGTTCTAGAACAGGAGTCATTCCTGACATACTGTTCTCCTTTATGGGAACTTACCTGGTCCTTTCCACTTTAATCAGATGACAAACAAGGGTGAGAAGGAGGTGAATGACAATCATTTTGTTTTGGTTCAGTTCAGTTCAGTCGCTCAGTCATGTCCAACTCTTTGCAACCCCATGAACTGCAGCACGCCAGGCCTCCCTGTCCATCACCTACTCCCAGAGTTTACCCAAACTCATGTCCATAGAGTCGGTGATGCCATCCAACCATCTCATCCTCTGTCATCCCCTTCTCCTCCTGCCCTCAATCTTTCCCAGCATCAGGGTCTTTTCCAATGAGTCAACTCTTCGCATCAGGTGGCCAAAGTCCTGGAGTTTCAGCTTCATCATCAGTCCTTCCAATGAACACCTAGGACTGATCTCATTCAGGATGGACTGGTTGGATCTCCTTGCAGTCCAAGGGCCTCTCAAGAGTCTTCTCCAACACCACAGTTCAAAAGTATCAATTCTTCAATGCTCAGCTTTCTTCACAGTCCAACTCTCACATCCACACATGACCACTGGAAAAACGATAGCCTTGACCAGATGGACCTTTGTTGACAAAGTAATGTCTCTGCTTTTTAATATGGTGTCTAGGTTGGTCATAACTTTCCTTCCAATGAGTAAGTGTCTTTCAGTGTCAAGGCTGCCATCACCATCTGCAGTGATTTTGGAGCCCACAAAAATAAAGTCAGCCACTGTTTCCACTGTTTCTCCATCTATTTGCCATGAAGTGATGGCAAATCACTCCAGATGCCATGGTCTTAGTTTTCTGAATGTTGAACTTTAAGCCAACTTTTTCACTCTCTTCTTTCACTTTCATCAAGAGGTTCTTTAGTTCTTCTTTACTTTCTGCCATAAGGGTGGTGTCATCTGCCTATCTGAGGTTATTGATATTTCTCCCATCAATCTTGATTTCAGCTTGTGCTTCCTCCAGCCCAGTGTTTCTCAGGATGCACTTGTTTAAGCATTAGTAGAGGTATGGAGACAAAGGTACAATGATTCAAAGAAGGCTTGGGATACTTTGGGAAAGGATTCCAGTCCTTAAGTGGAATGAGTGCATATGGTGGCACCCCTAGAACTGGTTCAGGTGCTGGATTACCTATTTGAAAATCTTAGCAAATGCACAGAACAAAGGCAAAAGGCAGGGTGGGGTGGGTGGGTAGTTTCCACAAACATTTATTTCTGGGACATCGGCTTTATGATAGGGGCTGGGCAATCATTGACGTCTTCAGGGAGCAATACATTATTTTGTTATACTTCTTTATGTTCATTCTATGTTTTAGTGTTGTTTTCTTTATAATTACTCTTGATGAGGCTGTGAGAGAGTGAAGTACCACAATCTTTTAGAGCTTAGGATGACTAAAATTTATAATCTGGCCTGGAGAAAGGCTTTCCTGGTGGCTCAGCTGGTAAAGAAGCTTTGTTGATCTTAAAACTGAGGATAGCAGTGGTCTTGTCAAGTCATTAAATGAGATTAAAAGAGATGGGAAAAGGAGGGAAATTGAACAAAGCTTTTCTTTTGAGTAAGCCCTAGACACCAGGCTTCATGCTTGGCCCTCTAGTTATGTTCTTGCTTTCCTATAATGGTCACCAGAACTGACTGAACTCAGCTGCATTTGTACCCCCGCCCACCCCCATAACATGCAAACTTTTTTTATAGATAAATAAACTGAGCCTCAGAAAGGTGAATAGCCAATCTAAGATCTTACAACATAGGAGATGGAACAGGAATTCACACACAAGTCTGTCCCAAACTAGGGATCCCTCTCTTAACCTCAGGACCTTCAACTCTCAAAGGAAGTCATTAGCTCCAAGCTTTCAGAATGTTGGGCCCCCTCCATCTTTACAGCTGGCCATTGTGCTGACATTTCGGTAAACTAGTTTAACTTGTTTAATGTCATTAATATATTTTAAATAGAGGCACTGAAGTCCCCCTCCACCACCAGGGCATTCATGAGGGCACATGAGCTTTTAAAACCACTGGTCAGTAAGATTAGATCTCAATTACAGGAAAAAAATTATTAAAAATTCAAACATATGGAGGCTAAACAACACGCTTCTGAATAACCAACAAATCGTAGAAGAAATCAAAAAAGAAATCAAAATATGCATAGAAATGAATGAAAATGATAACACAACAACCCAAAACCTATGGGACACTGTAAAAGCAGTGCTAAGGGGAAGATTCATAGCATTACAGGCCTACCTCAAGAAACAAGAAAAAAGTCAAATAAATAACCTAACTCTACACCTAAAGCAACTAGAGAAGGAAGAAATGAAGAACCCCAGGGTTAGTAGAAGGAAAGAAATCTTAAAAATTAGGGCAGAAATAAATGCAAAAGAAACTAAAGAGACCATAGCAAAAATCAACAAAGCTAAAAGCTGGTTTTTTGAAAAAATAAACAAAATTGACAAACCATTAGCAAGACTCATTAAGAAACAAAGGGAGAAGAACCAAATTAACAAAATTAGAAATGAAAATGGAGAGATCACAACAGACAACACTGAAATACAAAGGATCATAAGAGACTACTACCAGCAGCTCTATGCCAATAAAATGGACAACTTGGAAGAAATGGACAAGTTCTTAGAGAAGTATAACTTTCCAAAACTGAACCAGGAAGAAATAGAAGATCTTAACAAAATGATCACAAGCAAGGAAATCGAAACTGTAATCAGAAATCTTCTAGCTTTTGTCCTACTATTTCCTTTTCCTGTCTTCTTTTGGATTTGCTAATTTTTTTCATTGTAAACATCTTTTAGATATTCATTTTATCTATTGGCTTTTTAGCTAATCTTATTTGCATTTTAAGTGGTTATCCTACAGATTGTAGTATACATACCTAACTTTTCACCTTGTGTTTGGAGTTTAAAGTTTTCCACTTCATAGAAAATATAAATCTGGCAACATGTACATTTATTATTACAGCAATCCTCAATCTTTTATGCAATATTTAATACATATAACTATGTATACTAATCTACATACATTATAAATTTAAGTCAATCTTACACACATATACAGTAAGTCATGTTTTAAAGAAAGTAAGAGAAAAAATACTTTTTTATATTCACCCAGATATTTATATTTTTGATGCTTTTCATTTAGTCCCAAAGATCTGGGTTTCCCTCTAGCATGATTTTTCTACAACCTAAAGAATCCTATTTAGTTTTTGTATAGTCTAGATCTAGTGGCAATGAGTTATTTCAGAATTCCTTTATCTGAGAATATCTTAAT